GGAAGCCATCGGATGGCTCTAAATCAAATGGGTCCACTTCAAAAGGTCTTTCTGATGTCCTTAAAAGACAAATCCGGTGGGTGGAAAATCAAAAATGCATATGATCGAAATCACGGTCAGACGGCTTTGCATCCCAAGGTTCTACGACAAAATCAAATGGGAACTTTCCAAAAATGAGAAGGTTCTTTTCCTCAAAAAGACAATTTCCTTGTTATAAAAAGGACGAGGGGTTCTCATCTATCACATAGGCTTCACATGGGGTGGTGATAAAAAACACGGTGTCCTTGTCCTTTTTACCCAATTAAACGGTCAAATAAGGGAATTTTGCTCTAGCATTAAGGGGGAAGTACTGGACAATATAGGACAAGTTCCATGACACCCAAAGCACCAGGCAACTGTTTCAGATGTAGCCAAATTGGGCGCCATTATTCCAGGACCAGTCAATGTAAGGCTTGAGCTTCTTGTAGGTGAGCTCCTCCACCTTCTCCTTAGAGGTCAGCCACAACTTCTTGTCCCGTACACATAGTTCGCTCACCGGAAGAATGACCAAGTCGCCCTCAGCGTTGTCCATAGCCATAGACAGAACCGAGACCATTTCTTCAGTGAAACACTTTTTGATAGAACCACCCTCAGATGTATCGCCACCCCATTCATAGTTGATTATAGCGCAGAGGAACTGGGGGTTCAAGCAGGGAAGCCCAGTCAAATTCATCTGTGTCACTTCACGGGCTTTCATTTCTTCAGAGAGGTACTTGGTCCAAATAGCAGCCTTCTTCTGTGAGGCGAGGAGTGTTGGGAGGCTCAGTCTTTGACAAGTGAGAGTCGATCAATACTGTTGCCGGGGGGTCGTTGGCCCGCTGAGCTGGGGCAGGTGACTTTCCCGCAACCACTTCAGTAGGAGGTTGGTCCGAATTTGATGGTGCCGAAAAGTCTGGAGCCGACTCAACGGACTCCGACCCATCGTTGTCGGACCAATAAGAAAAGTCGCCGTTGACTGGTTTATTGGTGGGGCTAATTACCGATGGACCCGTTGTGTCCATCATCACCGAATCATCCTTATTGGGGGCAACAGAGTCGCGAACTGGTTTTGGGGTGGCATCCGGAAAGAACCCTCGCACAGGAGAGCGAGGGTCAATTGGAGCTGGTTTTTGTTCCGTTGATGGGTCCAGATCACGCTCACGTTTTCGGCCCTTGGCTGCTGAGCGACGCTCAGCCACTTCCATTACTATCGTTGTCGTGTCGGGGTCGGTCCACTGGTGGCCTAGAAGTTCAACCGCAATGGCCCACACTTTAGCCAGAGGATGTAATTCCAGTCGTAAACGGGGCTCGACCTCGAAAGTAAAATCACAATACCAATTGAAAAAATTAGTCTCCTCCATTGGGTCGTCCAACGGAAAAACCACCAGAGGATCCTGTACGGCCAGCCCAAGAATCAGTCCTCGGACATAGACGACGAGCTCCCGATTGTTTCCAATAAATTTGTCCTTGTTGTCTCGGTCAAGAGCAGCTCGAATGCGTTGCTTGACTAAGTTCCGGTCCCCATTTTGGCTCCCCTTTTTTGCGAAAAACTGATGCGACCCTGAGTAAGAGCAGCAGAATTAACAGATTTAGCAGCGATTGCCACTTTCTTGCTGTTCTTGGACTTTCCCATTGTCAGTTTTGATGCAAAAAGGAGGAGCCAGTTTTGTTTCGCTACAGAAAACTCGTGTAGGCGAAGTACCGAAAGTGATGTTTTGAGGACCCGGATATGCATGTTGTTTTTGTATTTTTGTATTTTTGGAATATTTAAAAAAAAAGGTAAAGGTATAGGAAAAGGAAAAGGAAAGGGGAAACCAAAGGATGGAAAGAAGGCAGCATGTTATGTGTGTGGCAACGAAGACCACATGTCTCCAAAATGACAGACTGCTACCAAAGATCCAATGGAAGAATCAGGATCAATATTTTGACTATGAGAAGAAGCTCAATCTTGATCAGATTGGAGCAACTGTCCCAGCTACTGTTCCAGCTATAGTTCCTGGAGCTTCAGCATCCACAAGTGGAGCATCAAGTGTTGCGGGAAGCGTTAACACACCTTTGCGACTTGCTGGTACTACAGG